ATGGTGGTCAGAGGGCCCGGTGCCGCCAGTGTATGGCAGCCTTGCTTCTGTCAGTAAGCCCCAGTGCAGCTGTGGCTACAATGTGGCTACCATCAGTGTGTGAGTGAATGGGTAAATGACTGAATGTAGTGTAAAGCTCTTTGGTTGAGTCCTCTGACTTGAAAAAGTGCTATATAAGTATAGGCCATTTACCATGTATGTTTAGAATGGGTTTGTTGTCTCCAAATGTCTCAAAAAATAAATAAAATAAAATAATAAAAATTTGCAGGGAAACTGGCAAAACTGGATCTTAATAAAGGTAATATAGAAATTAGAGTTAAATTAAGTAAATGTAAGGCAACTGCATGGTGTGGAGATTTATAAATGATGAGTGGCAAAGACAGTGGGATACTGGAAAGTAGTGCAGGGAGAGTTTAGGAGGGAGGAATCAGTCATCACACGAATTAGGTTAGGTCATTGCAAGCTTAACAGTACCTTCCACATAATTAGGAAACATGAGACAGGGAGAAGGGAAGGTTGCCAGTAAGAAGAGACTGTATAGAATATGGTGTTAAGGTGCAGGGCTAACAATGCAAGATCTTGACAGTTAGGCTTAAGGAACTGGATGTGAAGGAGTTGAGTTTAAGTGTTGTGGGTTATGGTAGAAGACCACAGGTTAGGGTTTTTCTGTCATTTTTAAAGAAGACATGAATTTATAGTTGGCTGTAGGTACGTTTTTGTGTGTGTCTGTGGGTGTGTACCTGTCTAGGCATCAGAGTGAAGAACATTTTCCAATTTCAACATCAATGAGAACCAGTTGTTGTAAAGTGAGGTCATTTTGCTGGTCATCACAAGGTATTTTTCTTATTGTTAGGTAACGGGCAAAGGTGTCAATGAGGTTAGGGTTAGGTATGCATTGGTAATGGTTAGGTTTAGGGCAATGGTGTCAATGAGGTTAGGGTTAGGTATGCATTGGTAATGGTTAGGTTTAGGGTTAGTTTCAGGGTTAGGACATAGAAAGGGTTGAAAATGACTGAAAATCAATGGGAGTCAACACATGGTCCTCACTACATGTAAGAAAAAAACATTTGTTTGTGTGTAGGGGGGTATGAATGCGCAGAGTGTAGACTTTAAGCCTATTGTCTGACTCATACTCCGGACCATTAGGTGTTGGTAATTAGGCTTTAAGACAGTAGTCCAGATATATTAACTGAAATACAACAAACACTTTACAGAAGAAATATGATGGGCCTAGTAGTAAATTTTGTTTGGGTTCTGGCAAATAACAACATTAAAGGAAATGAAATGGCTGACAGGATGGTTAAGGAGAGTACAAATAAGGTAAGGATAGATAGATAGATTAATGTTAGTTGTAGTATAACAGAAATAAAGGGTATAATTAAACAAAAAACAAAAGAGATGTGGCAAAAGTTATGGGAAGAAAAAAAAGAAAGGAAGGTGTTTTTATAAAATCCAAAAAGAGAATTGGACAAATGAGAAGAACAGAAAGGAAAAGGAGAGAAGAGATAAATATTTAATGACTTAGAATAGGACACACAGGATTGAACTGGTCATTATGTTTAATAGGGAAATATCAGACAGGGAAATGTGACTGTGGGGAACATGTTAGTTTGAGTTGTAGGAAATATTTGATTCAGAGAAACAAGTTCATTGGGAAACTTAGAAATATGAAAATGAAACTTGACATTGTTGATTTACTGCAAAATGAATAAAAAAATGAATCAGAGGATATCAGGTTATATTTGAGTTTTTGAAACAGATTAAATTGTGTAACAGGATATAGTTGTTGTTTTTTGCCATGTGGTTCACACTCCTCACCAGTTGGTGGCGGTAATGTTCACCTAACGTTTTTGCCAACCGCAAAAAAAAAATCCAACAAGAAGAAGAAGAAGAAGAAGAAAAAAAAAAAAAGAAAATGAGGAGTTTCAACGAGGCCGGTGGTGCATGGCGCGTGTTTTGAAGCTGCTTGTGGAGAGATGTCCTGGGCCGTGAGTACAGGTGCTGGTCATAAAATTAGAATATCATGAAAAAGTAGATTGATTTCAGTAATTCCATTTAAAAAGTGAAACTTGTATATTATATTCATACATTACATACAAACTCATATATCTCAGATGTTTATTTTGTTTAATTTTGATGATTACAAATGACAACAAATGAAAATCTCAAATTCATCATATCAGAAAATTAGAATATTACTGAAGACCAATAAAAACAAAGGATTTATAGAAATGTTGGCCAACTGAAAAGTATGAACATGAAAAGTATGAGCATGTACAGCACTCAGTATTTAGTTGGGCCTCCTTTGGCCTGTATTACTGCAGCAATGCGGCGTGGCATGGAGTCGATCAGTCTGTGGCACTGCTCAGGTGTTATGATAGCCCAGGTTGCTCTAATAGTGGCTTTTAGCTCTTCTGAATTGTTGGGTCTGGTGTATTGCATCTTCTTCTTCACAATACCCCATAGATTTTCTATGGGGTTAAGGTCAGGAGAGTTTGCTGGCCAATTAAGAACAGGGATACCATGGTCCTTCAACCAGGTACTGGTAGCTTTGGCACTGTGTGCAGGTGCCAAGTCCTGTTGGAAAATGAAATCTGCATCTCCAAAAAGTTGGTCAGCTGCAGGAAGCATGAAGTGCTCTAAAACTTCCTGGTATGTGGCTGCGTTGACCCTGGACCTCAGAAAACACAATGGACCAACACCAGCAGATGACATGGCACCCCAAACCATCACTGACTGTGGAAACTTTACACTGGACTTCAAGCAACGTGGATGAAGTGCCTCTCTTCTTTTCCTCCAGACTCTGGGACCTTGATTTCCAAAGGAAATGCAAAATTTACTTTCATCAGAGAACATGACTTTGGACCACTCACCAGCAGTCCAGTCCTGTTTCTCTTTAGACGCTTCTGACGCTGTCTGTGGTTCAAGAGTGGCTTGACACAAGGAATGCGACAGCAGAAACCCATGTCTTTCATACGTCTGTGTGTGGTGGTTCTTGAAGCACTCACTCCAGCTGCAGTCCACTCTTTGTGAATCTCCCCCACATTTTTGAATGGGTTTTGTTTCACAATCCTCTCCAGGGTGCGGTTATCTCTCTTGCTTGTACACTTTTTTCGACCACATCTTTTCCTTCCCTTCGCCTCTCTATTAATGTGCTTGGACACTGAGCTCTGTGAACAGCCAGCCTCTTTAGCGATGACCTTTTGTGTCTTGCCCTCCTTGTGCAAGGTGTCGATGGTCGTCTTTTGGACAACTGTCAAGTCAGCAGTCTTCCCCATGATTGTGTAGCCTATAGAACTAGACTGAAAGACCATTTAAAGGCTTTTGCAGGTGGTTTGAGTTAATTAGCTGATTAGAGTGTGGCACCAGGGGCCATCAATTTTGAACCTTTTCACAATATTCTAATTTTCTGATATGATGAATTTGAGATTTTCATTTGTTGTCATTTGTAATCATCAAAATTAAACAAAATAAACATCTGAAATATATGAGTTTGTATGTAATGTATGAATATAATATACAAGTTTCACTTTTTAAATGGAATTACTGAAATCAATCTACTTTTTCATGATATTCTAATTTTATGACCAGCACCTGTAGTGAGGAAACAGGAAGCGATTCTTGTGGGATGGAAGAAGGAAATAGTGACAATGAAGGTTGGAAGATAGCAACATCAAAAAATGAGAAAAAGCGGAAAAAACAGAGATCAGTTAAAGGGGAATCTAGTTCAGAACAATCCAGTGATGATCATTCCATACATTCCACAGCACAACAAAATGAATTCAAAGTCATATTCAAAGTCGTTAATCAGGCAGACTCTTTTACAAATTGGAATCCGGTTCACTTAACAAAAACCATCAATAAACTTGTCGGAGAAGTCAGAGGTGCCAGAATTCTGTACAGTGGAGACCTGCTAATTAACTGCAGAGACAGCGCCCAGCAAGGCAAAGCAATACGGATCAACAAAATTGATGGGATAAGAGTTCAGTGCAGCTTAATGGAGAACAAAAAGATCAGCAGGGGAGTCATTGGAGGAGTTCCTCTAAAAATTTCTGAAAAAGAGACTCTGGAAAACATAAGGGGTGCAAAAGTAAAAGAAGTAAAACGGTTAAAAACAACAAGAAACGGAGAAAGATCTGACAGTTTATCGGTGTTAATTAAATTCGAAGAAGAGCAATTACCAAGCAAAGTATTCATCGGTTACATCAGCTATAATGTCAAAATCTACAATCCTCCACCATTGAGATGTTTCAAATGCCAAAAATTCGGTCACATTGCAGCAGTTTGTAAAGGGAAACAGAGGTGTGGAAGGTGTGCAGGAGAACATGAGTACGGAAAATGTGGAAAAGAAGCTAAAATAAAATGCTGTAATTGTGGTGGAGAACATACTGCTGCTTATCGCGGCTGTGAAGCAAGCAAAAGGTCTGAGGAAATTAAAAAAATGAAATTTGAGCTCGGAATAACCTACGCTGAAGCTGCAAAAAGGATCCCATCTCAGTCAGAAAAACCCAAACCTACAGTTCAACACACAGCAAATTCCAAACCTCTAGAGAAATCTCCAAAAATTGATGAAGACTCACTAATTGTTAAAAAGACAAATTTTGTTCTTTTCATGGTGGAAGTGATTAATTGTACTGCACAGACAACAAAAAAACTGAAAAAATCAAAATAATAGTGAAGGCTGCAGAAAAATATCTGGACATTAAAGATTTGAACTGGGAGATGGTTGGAAGCATGATGGGAGGACCGATGGGACCATCAGAAACTGGCAGAATTACGATGACCTAGAGTAAATTAAAATTATATGGGCAAATGTGATTTAGTATTATGTTGGTTTAAGTTACACAGGTTTTTTTTTTTTTTTTTTTTTTTTTTTTTTTTTTTTGGGGGGGGGGGGTGAATCGTTTCCTGTTTTCTTGCTTTACTCCATATCAGTTGGTGGCGGTAATGCACAATTTACAAGTCTGCCAACCGCCATAAAATCTCATAAGAAGAAGAAGAAGAAGGAGTTTCAACCCATCGCGGCTTCCGTAGCGATAGGAGGGGATGACTGCTCCTTTTGACGTGGAATATTTCCGTGCCGAGACGATGGTGAAGTAGCAGCACGGTCAAACTGAAAGCCATTAGATCGAGACGGGATTTTAAGTCCTTTAACTCAGTCAGGTCCGGATTGTTCCGGAGCTGACAGAACCCGCTCCCCGCCTCTCTCCGTTCAGCTGCAATCATGATTAAAGCCATTTTAATATTCAACAACCACGGCAAACCGAGGCTTTCTAAATTCTACGAACATTATGTAAGTAAAAACTCCAATATTTAGCCACTTTATATGTTAGTTGTCACTGCGACCTAATAAAAAAATGCAAGTAATTAGTTATGTCAATTCCCGGTGAAATCAGCAACCTGAACGCAGCACTCCTTGAAACCTCCTCGACTATCAGGGATGGATGTGTATTTATTTGTATCTACTGATATACATGGCGGCTCCACATCGCCCTTTAAAATAAACACTGAATAATTAAACATGTGGAATCCAAAGCGAGGCTTTCATCCAGCGTCAGCCTGTCCAGTTTCCTCTGGTTTCATGGCAGCATCCAGCTGTTGGATGTTCTGAGACTTTACTGTTTGGATCACATGACCTCCATGACGCCCAGTGAGTGTCTCGCACTCAACTGTTGCCTTAATTTCCTTTAATGGTGCAGGCTACCAGTCCTATTAAAAAGCCCAGACAGTCAGGTTATATATTCTTGGAAGAGCGGTTCACATCTAAAAGGTCCCTTGGCACAGGGGCGGAGCTAAATGGGGGGACAGGGGTGGCCACGGCCACTGTTTTTCCCCTCTTAAGCTGCGTTCGAGGAGCAGCAAAAAGGCTTCTGCTGCTTCATTTTTGCTGCTTGTACCAGTTAGTGGCTGAAGGGTCTGACTCACGTTGGGCGGCGCTACTCTATCCTTTCTTTGCCTTGCTGCTATATTTGCTGTGATCAGCGGGAATAAAGTAGTTTTAATATGTTTTTAAGTGGGAAAATCCACCTGAAAACTTAACCACTGCAGTCAGTTCATCCAGATTACCATCCTTCCTTCCAATATTATTTCTGTCAGAGCCGCTCAGACCCCCACATACTGGCGGTGCACTGTCAGTAGGAATCCCATTCAACAGTAGCCCCTGGCCCCGTCGCCTCCTTGCGGTTCGCCGCGGCGGCTGGAAGGCGGTTTTCATGTACATAATCCAAACTGCAAGCACCAGGGCAATAAAAGCGAACATGTTTTGTTTGCAGGTTTCTACATTTTAAGTTACTTTTAGGCATTAATAAACTGTTTCAGAGGTGTGATCATAGTGATCTGTATCATCAGCGATGTGTCTGTCTCCCTTCCAGCTACCAGATCAGCGTCTCTGATTGGTTGATGCGTCGCAAAAGTTAAATTTTTCCATCTCGATCAGAAGCGTGTTTACATCGCGTCCCGCGCGTCAGATGCTTAAACGCTCCCGACGCACTGCTTCAGCTTCTCAGGCGTGCTGCTCCTGCTGCTCAAAACGCGCTGCAGGACCTTTTGCTGCGCCAACCATTGACTTTGCATGTAAACTCGCTGCTCTTGCAGCTCCTGCTGCGTTCGGCGTGAACGCAGCATAATACAGATGGTAGCAGCAGGAATTGAATAGAATAGAATTCAACTTTGTTGTAATTGCACTGTCACGAGTACAAAGCAACGAAATGTGGTTTGCATCTATCCAGAAGTGCTATACAGGATATAAATATTATTACAGGTGTATGTACAATAGGGCTGGGTGAAAAAAAATCGATTTAATCGATTTTAAATCGATTCCTTCACATTTTAGCAAAATCGATGTCAGGGGAATGAGATCGATTAGTTTTATAGGGACGCGCGTGACGTTTACATTCAAATGAGCAGGAAAGATTCATTCAAGATGACTTCAAGCCAGACGGCTGCAAATATAGCCAGTAGGTTCACTGAAGACATTAACAAATGCAGGCTGACCAGCAAACACTCTGCAGTTGTTACAGATAACGCTGCAAATATGGATTGTCCAGTGAAGATAATGCAGCTCATGCATGTCTGCTTTGTCCCCGCTGTGTCACATCTGCTTGCTCAAATGAGGCTTCACTTTTCACAAACAACTTTGCACTTATGAGACAGTTTTGTTCACATCTCAAGTTTAAACTGTCTGTATTTCGAAACACAGTTGAACCACTTTCATTATTGAATAAACAGTTCGAATCGAAATTAATTGATTTAGAACTGTATGACTCAAAATCGAATCGATTCAGGACTCTGGCGAAAATACCCAGCCCTAATGTACAAGCACCAAGTAATGGTTAGGGACTGTAAAAAGTTGTGTATAAATATGAATATGGGAGCTACACACACACATATAGATTATACAGAATATACAGGAATGTTAGGAAAAGGATTATATATGTATTAGTGGGTTTATAATACAAGATAAATAATGGCAGATAAGATTTACAGATTGTATACAGATTGTGCATGTGTGTGAGGGGAACAGTCCATGGTATGTGTGTGAGTGTGAGGACAGTCTATATGTTATTATTGTGTGGGGGGATAAAGTCCTTATAGTTGTGTCAGGAGGCGTTCAGGAACGTGACAGCTGTGGGAAAGAAGCTGTTCCGGTGCAGCATACTCTCAAGTGGAATGTTTTAACTTATTTAACATTTTAATTTTCTATATGTAAACAATTACTTGACAACAAAAACGCTGTGGTTAATTCTTCACATCAATATACTAACATTAAAGATGATAAATACAGAATTCATGATCTTCTCAGAACTAGATTTGGTCTTATATTGGGTAAAGAGTAAATTATGTCTCTGCAAGTCATCTAGGAATCTTCACTGAAATCAGATATAAAAAAATACATATTTTAATAACAGGGATGAGGCCATTACTGTAAAGTTAAAAAGCCAATTTCTAATACTATAGTATCTAATAGTAAGTTGATTAGTAAAAGTAACAAATTTATGATAGTCATAAAATTTGGAAGTATAAAATGGGAAAAGTTTTCAAGCTTTGGAAAATCCTCCCAAAGTTTGAGGCTTTATGTGGATACTTTGCAGGAGGGGGAAGTGGTTCACATTCTTCTTGAAAGAAATGGATAAAAAAAAAAAAAATGTTATTGTATTTTTGATGATCGCAGTTGGTACAAGCAAATAAACAAAACAATCACTTAATTGGGGCAGTTAAACCTTTGGATGAAGAAGTCAACATAAAAGAAGGAAACTTCAGATTTACATGTGCAATAAGTCAGTTTTCTAACCCACTCTGGTCTCTTTTCCTTGATATTATCCCAACTCTTTTCAACAGCTTAGTTTTGAAATGAAATAGAGCGTCCTTTTAATTTTCCGACTTAGATTCCTCTTGTTTATTGAGACAGACATCGATTCGTATGCGTTTGAGGAGGATCAGTTGCGACTGATTGGATTACAGGAAGGCTGTGTAGACACCATCTGTTACTCTGGATGCCAAGGTGTTGGCTTACCGTCTGCAGATTTTATTTCTCACACCGTGGCTGCTGTGCACTGAGAGGGCTACCCCTATCTCCTGAAGCTGAAACAGGCTGATTATTGTTAAAGATATTAGAAAGATGCCTCAGAATGCCCTCTGGCCATTAATGCTCCTTACAAGTACATTAGAGTCGATTTATTTCTGAAGAGCTTTGATTATTATCCCTCCCACACAATGCCTGATGCCTTATTTCAAACAGTTTTAGAGCAAAACACACGGTACCAAATCAGGTTTTACTGAAAACCTGTTTGTTACTTTGTTTTTTTCTTTTTAACAGGACGCTACCTACGTCCACAATTATTGCCACCCCTGTTAAAAGTATTTAAAAAGGTTTAAGATCAATTGTTGTAAATACTCTATTACCTCCAAGATGACACTTTGTGCTCCAGTTCTTCAAAGAGCACTAAAAAATTTTTGATCGATTCATGATCGTCCACAGTGGTTATGTTGTTTATCTATACATAGTTTTTATTTATTTCTTTCTTTTTTTTAACCTATTAAGCTTATATAAATGGAGTAGCCATTTTCTTGTCACATTCCAACTTTTGAAGGCTAACATCTGGTTTACTTGGATGTCATGTATGCTTTAGTTTGCCATTTATTTTAAAGGTGGCTAAAAGAAATTACGATAAATATACCTGAATATAAGACTTTATTGTCCTGTGTTAATATTGCAGGACATTTTAAGGATTCCTATAGAGTGGGGGTAGAATATGCTGCTGGATCAGTTGGAGGAAAATCTGTGGTACACATAATAGTCCATGATTAAACTTTAAATAACACATAAGATGAGGAAAGAATACAGTTTGATCTCTGGCTCAGGTTGGACAGTAGATGTGGCTGAGGAGCTGTTATGAACTTTAGGAGGAATGTGTTCTGTTTTCTGTTCATATACCAGGAAACCAAATTATAAAAATAAGAGTCATTTAACACAGATCAACTTAAAAAAAAAGCAAAATATTAAGTATCTAATGGCTGCATCTGTGTTGATCTATATTATTAGAGCTGCTAAAATGAAAAGACAGGTATATTTAAATAGTTAGCGCATAGTGAGATTTAGTTTTTCCCTTTAAGTAAATGTACACGAAAAATGTTGAAGGGAAAGTCAAATTTTCATTGCAAGATTATAATTGTTATGTCATTATGCTACTTCAGCAAGAACTATATTTCATCTTGGAGTTATTGCTCTTTTTATTGGAGGGTTGTCACTTTCATTGTCTAGTTTAAATCACTTTGAAGTAGACATTACAGGTTAAAATAGTCAGATCTAAACCACAGGGGAAAAAATGCTTTTTTAGGAGTTTGGTTAACCACTGAACATTTTGATGACAACATTGAAAGATTTTTTAAATTTTCAGTCTCTCACCCCTGCACTAGTTTGGATCCTTTAACAGTGAGTACTGTTAAAACTCTTGGTCCCATGCTGCTGGTCACATGATTAAACCAGCCCGCAGCATGCCGGCTACACGACCCCTCCTTCCTCTGACCTGCTCAGGACCCCGAGCGGCTTTCTTTGAGAGACTTAAAGGTTTTCTGTTGCCCTCCTCCTTTAGCTGTAGGAGTACAGTCACCATGTTTAAAACACAACTCAAAGGACGGAGTTCAGAGAACGTAAAAAAAAATATGTTTTAAAAAGAGTTTTCTTTACTGGAGAAGATGTTTCAGCCTTTATATGAGCTCACTTCCTCCTGGCCTCAGTGTACCACTGGTATGCGTAATCACTTTTTGCTGATTAGCCTTTGTGTGAGGAGGCTCTGATCAGATTAGAGGCTGCGGGAGAAATAAAATCACTAAAAGATCCCACAATTTACAGCTTATTAATGCATCAAGCAACATTATGTGCTCCTTTGTGTGTTTTTGTTTTACTTTATTAAAAATTTGACCTCTATCAAACAACCTTTTGCATTTTTCTTTTCTTTCATGTGTTGCAACCTTTAATAAAAAACAGAACGGGTCAAAATCAAAATGAGCACATCAAAGAAAATCAGTTTGAATCATTATCAGCGAGAGAAAGCAGGGACTAATGCTTTTTCTCATTGTTAAACTGTTCTCTTCTTATCCGCTGTGCAGAATGAAGACACAGAGCAACAGATCATCAGGGAAACCTTCCACTTGGTCTCTAAAAGAGACGAAAATGTCTGCAATTTCCTAGAAGGCGGATTGTAAGTGATGACGCACATGTTCTTCACGTGGTTGAAACTGTTGCCACATGTGTGTCTTAGTGCACACAATCCGCACCCAATCACATTAGGTCTCTTGCAACAGACAGCAGATATTAGTAATTCATTATTCACTAGTTAGTGCCTGTAGAGTCTTTGTACTTCTTTTTTTTCTCTCGACATCCTGTCACTTGTTAGATTGATTGAAGTCTGAAGCAGTCAAGTAAAACACCTCATTGTTCAAGTGTATATTAATTGCATATTGCAGTGCATATGTTGCAGCACTCAGAATAGTCCCTCCACCGACAGCAGGTCTAGTTCCTGCACAAGTATCTGTATGGGTTGCAACGTTTCCCATGGTAACAGAAACACAGAATCAGATTTCTAATCAAACCCTTCATCAGCCTGAATGTCCATTGCTTCTTCTATCTTTCATTATTGCTGTGGCTCTATGTTTCTTATCTGTACTTTTAACGCTGAAAACATCCTGTTACTTTTCACCTTCTGTTTTTTTTTTTTTTCACAATGTCAAAACATATTTTGCTTTCGCATGTTTTTCTGAGTCACACTTCGGTCAAAGGGCAGCATTCAGCATGACCTAATAATGTTTAACCTCTCTGAGCCTGTTTGAAGGTGACAGAATGCAGTCCAGATTAGTTTCTAGAAATGTCCTCTTAAGTTTTAACAGGTTAATTGTAATTAATAGTTTAGTTGCACCAGAAATCAGAATCTGACAGTTGAACTTGTTTGGCTCTTACTTCTAATCAACAGTTAAAATACTGAAAGATCTGATTGTTTTTGTTTTTATATTTAAAATAGGATCATAAACTGTCAACTCAAAGGAAAAGTCTGGTCATATTCAGAATTCAAACGTTGGAAAGTACTTTAAATATAAGAATATTACATACTGTTCAATAAATAAGTGTTTTTAATTAACAGTAATTTTCATTAGAAAGTGCTTTACCGGAGACATCCATGTTTGTCAATGAACACTACTGCCACCTACCAGTTTGTGACGTCACTGTGCGGGATCTGCTGTTGATCAAGTCCCAGAGCTGTATCTGGTGTTTGTCACAACGCGCTATTATCAAAGTCTTCTAAAAAAACATTCATTCTTTTCGAAATGTTGGCTACATATGTCAGTTTTTTTCCCTGGCCAGAAGTTTGATGGCAAATCCTCCCTTTTCAAGTTGGCAATCCAACAATGAACCTGTGGTGGATCATGAATAGGAAAGGTGAAATAACTCTTTTATTTTATTTTTTTCTCTCATGTTACACAGGTTGTATCAAAACATCTGACTGCCATGCACATGGGCATTGTCAGTTTAACTACAGCTCTCGCAAATTTCATTGGTGAAGTCCTCTCGAAATCTTAAATAATTGTTGTTGTTTGCAGATGTGTCTAGTAGTTGACTTTGTCTGTAAAGCGGGGAGAATGACTCTAGGCTTACTGAACCGTGACATCACTGCCGGAAGATGTCAGAAGTGAGACGTTATTATATTTGGGCAAAAATGGCCAGTCCAGGACTCTGTGATCACAACGAAAATTGTTTTTTTTTTTTTTACCGATTAACGCTAAATTCATTAAATCACCGCAAACTGTATTAATTTTAGGTATAGATAATGTTCCATAGATTATTTCTTGCTGACCGGACTTTTCCTTTAAAGGAAAATTCTGGTTTTTAACACTTTTAGCCCATTTTCTGTAGTGTCCAGGATGAAATCGAATGATCGACACCAACATTTTGACGATTGGTCCTGTCTCTGCTATTTGGCTCATGCAGAATCCCCCCCTGGCTGCTTCAGAATGGCTTCCATAGTGCATGTCCGATAATGTCCTTAAAACAACCTTAAACGTTCTTTTTTTAAAATATGCTACTCACCGGGTCGTCAGCGCTGTTCAATGACGTTCCAAAAAAAGTTTCGTGAAGAAAAACCGTTCCTGTCTTGTTTTATTTAGCATTTTGTAAATCCCAGAACTATTTTTTCCGATACATCACAACCGCTTATAAACTTCCACTTCCCGTTCGAATCTGAAGCGTTGCACACTCCAGACCACTAGTTGGCGACGGTATCCTCTACCGTCAAACTCAAAGTCCAATATGTCCTCCTCAAGAATCCACCTTTCGTATTCCATTTTCAGAGTTTTTTAAAGTGTTTAACAGAGACGTTAGCACCTCGACGTCGGAGTACACAGAGTGAAGCGAAAAGACTACAACTGTGTAAACAGGCCCCATTTCAGTTTCCGGTGGCGGAGGGATATTGACTATTCCAACAGAACTCAATGGGATTTACAAAATGCTAAATAAAACACTACAGGAACGTTTTTTCTTTACTAAACTTTTTTTGGAACGTCATTGAACAGCGCTGACGACCCGGTGAGTAGCATATTTTAAAAAAAGAACGTTTAAGGTTGTTTTAAGGACATTATCGGACATGCACTATGGAAGCCATTCTGAAGCAGCCAGGGGGGGATTCTGCGTGAGCCAAAAAGCAGAGACAGGACCAATTGTCAAAATTTTGGTGTCGATCATTCGATTTCATCCTGGACACTACAGAAAATGGGCTAAAAGTGTTAAAAACCGGAATTTTCCTTTAAGCTGTTTTCAGTCTATAAATAGATTAACCATGGCTTTAATGTTCCATACACCGAACAGATACAGAATTAAAAATATTTCAGTTTGAAAAGTTTGCTTGTAATAGTAATAAGAAAAGCATCTCCTTAAAAAGATATGGAATTTGACTGTATGATCTGGTAAACTGCAAAGTGCCTTGAGATGACGTGTTATGAATTGGCGCTATATAAATAAACTGAATTGAAATGATGCACAAGCAGGTTTGGAAAAAGAAAATGTTCAGTTTCTAATTTACATTTTCACAAAAAATGACATGCAGGGAATAATTTATGCCATCCATCCATTGTCTGTAGCTGCTTATCCTGGTAGGGTTGCTTAGGGTTGTGGTACCTACCTTGAGCAGTCTTTGGGTGAGAGGCGGGGTAAACCCTGGACACTCCACCAATCTGTTATACATACAGAGCAAAGAACCATGCACACACACATACTCACTTGGAACCTAAAGATAATTTAGAGAGACTGTTTGAGGGATGATGAAGGAAGCTGATGGACCTGGAGAGATATTTGCACAGGAGAACATGCTAACTCCTTCCAAAAAAGGTAAAAAGAAGTATTAATATATAAGTTTCTATTGCCATTAAGGAAATTAGAATCTTTCTGACCCCCTGAGAACCACTGGATGTGGAAAGGTGCATAAGCGCAGTGAATTCACAGCAGATTGAAGCAACTTTTGCCAATCAGAGGGTTTCCAACGGCTATGGAGCGGTGTGTTTCTGAAGCGTCAAAGATCCGCTGCTCTGACATATACTTTATGTTAAGACTTTTGATAGCATTTTCTGTTTTCTTTTTTTTTTGTGATTAAATATTATTTTCATACAGTTAATAAACAGCCATAATAAATGAGCATTGAATAAAAAAAAACAAAAAAAAAAACGATGTTTTTGAACTCGAATACTCCTGATAGATATAAAGTAAACAAGGTCCGTGATTGCATAGAGAGTATGCAAAACACTAGTATCACTGGCTAAATAACCATTTTACTGGTTTATTGTTCTATTTAAACTGTGCAAACACACTTCTATAAAGCGATGATGCAATCCTCGCCTCAATCTGAGTCCAACTGCACAGAATCACTCTGCTGTAAAAAAAAAAACGCTTCTGGTGGAATAGTTTGCCTGGTAGAAGGAGCCGCAGCGTAGCGCTTCCACACCGCTTCCACATCCAGTGGAAATCCAGTTTTAGTATTGCTTAATATCTTTTCTTTTATTCAATTTTTTTTTACAAAGTATTGTCTTTTTATAAACTCCATTTATGGCAGGTTTGACACCTGATTAGGATCAATAGAAAATATGTTGGATCCAATTTCTTATAATTAATGAACTCTGATCTTTCTTATGTATTTGCCTGCCTAGGGACTACGGATGGAAACTAGCTTTGTAGCTATAATCCGGCATATTTACATTTGTTTTTATACTGATGTTTATTAATGTGCATCGTCCCTATTCAAATAAATAAAAATAAATAAATAAATGATCCAGAATCACATGGTGTTCCTGAGGATGTAGGCAGAGGAAAGGATTTAGCTTCTCAACCTCAAACTAAGTATGGTTGGTAGTTGGACTAAAGGTTAACGTTAAATATAAATAGGCAAAGGTTTACAATTTGAATTTGGCCTATTTTTCCTTCTTATTTTCGGCCTTAAAAAGGTTAAAAAAAATAATAGTCAATTAATACTAACTGATACGAAAGGCTTACATCCTAATACATTTTTCACTCCCATCCACCAGCTCTCCCTCATTGCCATCACCCTAATCTTTAACTCCTTACAGCGATTCTCTGTCAACATCAAGAGACTCTGGTTTGGACCCTCCAAAACATTGATTTTATTTCCATAAAAAAATACATATTTTAACCCTGAATAGGGCAGTGATGTTATTAACTTGAGTCTTTGTTATGCAAAGCAAGCATAGAAATGTTTAACTAGAGGCATAACTAGGGGATCTGTTTGTTCAGCTGTTCTGAGCTGTGTTACAGAAGTGTATTCATATATATATCTATACACACACACACACACCTTGTCTTCTATATTTTAGATTGATTGGAGGCTCGGACTACAAGCTGATCTACAGACACTACGCCACGCTGTACTTTGTGTTTTGTGTCGACTCTTCAGAGAGTGAATTGGGAATTTTAGACTTAATCCAGGTAAAACCTTGTCACTGTCTTCTTTTGTTGTGTTTCTTTTTGTGCTGTATTATAATACGTATGTTTTATTTCAATCTCAGGTTTTTGTGGAAACGCTGGATAAATGCTTTGAGAATGTCTGCGAGCTTGACTTAATTTTTCATGTAGACAAGGTAGGAGTTGGTTTTATCTCTGTGTCTCTGTAGTGTTTATGATTCTGTTTGTTCGCGCCTCATCTTGAATATTTATGGCACTGTTGTAATAATACCCTTTATTGCCTGATTTACTGTACTGTGTTTGTCTGGTGAAAAGCCACAAGTTAAAACATGTTACACAACTGATTTTATGGATTTATGATGGAAAGCTTCCTGAATTCAACCTAAAAACAGAACGTTCTGTTGATTAGATATCGATTTGAGGTCATTTGTTTAGTACATGATTAGATTAATTATTTTTGTAGAATTTATGGTATTTGATATGATCAATCATTTTAAGAGGCCATGTTGTGTAATTCAGAGCTGTCAAACATTTTTTTTATTGGTCTTATTGGACAAAAATATTTATACCCTTAAACCATTTTTTCACAATTTAAACCGAAACATCTATGAAACTAGGGGGTTTATATGCGTTTGCCCAACATAGTGAACAACAAACCGGTAAAAAGAAAATGAATGTATGATTGTTTTTAGATTTTTTTTTTTTTTTTTTTTTTAACCAATAAAATTAGAGAAGTGGGGCAGGCATTCGTGTTCCAGCTACTTTCACCCTGATGCCCTCAAATGAACTCTGGTGTTCCTGCTTGTCTCTTAAATTTATTGATCTCACTAAAAACAGTGTAGGTCATTCCCACGAGCCTATGGTGATTACTTTTTATTTAATTAAACCTTAAACCTACAGAACCATAACTTTTCTAACCTTTACAGCTTGGGAATGGATAATTTTTGCAGGCTGCTGTAAGGTGTCATACATCATGATTATATTGGGACTGTTAAGATAAATTAGTAATATAGAATGGAGCAAATGTTTAGATATTCAATATCTAAACTTTAACATAACATACCTTTGATTCTCTTTAACTTTTCACATAAAGAATAAGGAGGTACCAATGATGCCTCTATAGGCCCAGCTGATGCAAGTGTCACTTTCTTAGGTCTTGGTTACTTTACAGACTTTAAAGCAGTGGTTTTCTGGACCAACTGTTTTTGGTATTCCCCAAACCCCCCCCCCCCCCCCCCCCCCCCCCCCCCAAGCATGCAGTGATGCACTGTGGTCCAGTAATACCAGCACCTTGGTTCCTCCACAGTATGAATTTATACCGATGTCATCAAAACCCTTGACACTCTGTCAGTCTCTGTGCTGTGGTGAGCCTGAAGGCCTTACTGGAAGATGTCAAAGCGGCTGGTCGTCTTTAGAAAGCTGTTTGAAACCCAGCTTTTCCACTAATCCTACTGATGAACTGGAGGTTTGAGATGGGCCTGTAGTTCTGCAGTAGCAGAATTGGAGAATTTCTGTGGAAAACTGTGGATAAAACATCAAGACAGCAAGAAGAATAGCTTAGTTGGCTTTGATTTTTTCCCCCACACCTTTAAACTTTAAATTTCAGCCCATAAGGGGGCAGCATTAGGACAGACAGCCCACCAGGAGGAACCTGTCTTGTTTTTTCTCCAGTTTGCCCCTCGTGTTGCTTTCAAAACACGGTTAATATTTGAGTAATGGTCTTCAGACGTAGATGCACTTTGTCGTTGTTTTGACCCGGTAAGTTGATTTTCTTCAGCTGCTGATGGCATTATGGTGTTTAATATAATAATACTGCCACCTGTTGTCAAAACACGTAAATGCAGCACACTTCTGCTTGTTTGCTAGGTTGGACCCAATTATCATGGACATGCCTGACATCACATCCCCCGAACATTGCGGGAATTTCCGACCCATTGTAAATTCAGAAAAATAGGCTGCAGGCTTCAGGCATCAGTGCTGAACTACTAAGATGTCAGTCTGCTCATCAAACAATGATTCAGTCAAACAGGCTATTTAAAAGATCTTTTTCAGTAAAGACTCATGACATAATGTCTCTTCAATGCATATCCATCCATTTCTGTCACACTTTATCCCTGCGGGTGTCGCGAGGGTTGCTGGTTCCTATCTCGAGCCGTCTACAGGTGAGAGGCAGGGTACACCCTGGAGAGGTCACCAGTCTATCGCAGGGCAGTCTATCTTTAATGCATAGCCTACGGCTTAACGCACTGAAAACATATTAATGACAAAAAAAAATCTAACAAAAAAATGCTGCCAAAAAAGCAACTCGAAGATTCTGCAAATGCCAAATGCAACAGTAATTTTAAAAAGCTGTATACTTGCTCTACAAAAAAAGATTTACACCAGACCACTAGGGGGAGTCATCAAGGGGAAGATGGGTAGAAAGGTACATGTTGGGATGCAAATTGACCCCCAGCTGTAGGTGTGTTTTATTGATATGTCAGTAATTGTGTACGTATAACAAATGTTCACTCATTTGTCTTAGACTTAAAGAATTAAACACTTCTGTGTTGCGAATGTATCCTGCTGCAGGTGCACCACATTTTAGCAGAGATGGTGATGGGTGGGATGGTCCTGGAGACCAACATGAATGAAATCATCATGCAGGTGGATGCCCAGAACAAGATGGAGAAGTCTGAGGTAAGCGCCTCTCTGCCTGTTTGTTGGCTTGATCTGCCTCCACATCTCTGAGGCCTTGTGTACAGAATGCAGGCATGTGTGTTATGCTGCAACCTGCATGTTACTCTCCAGAGACATTGTCGATGCTACCGACCAACTTCAGAGTGTTTGTGCTCTTTTCAGCCTCCTTCTCTTGCTGCTTCACTGCTTCTTAATTTTTATTAGCATAAACACAAATTAATAAACAGATTTATGCATCTTGTTCTTTTGCCCATTATGCAGCGTTTATGCAGAATCTGTCACAGTTAGATCCCACATCCTTGAAATTTGGTTTATGGTTTCTGCTGTGTTATTATATAAAAATCTCAGTTTGTTTAAAATCTCTTGGAACAAATCTCAAAGTGAGTGTCCATGTTTAGATGTTAGTTTTATACAGATACATCCTTTCACCACACAGCTTCTGCTTTTAATTTATGATTTGATTTATGAAAAACTAAATAAAAAATAACGTTGGGTTACTTAACGTAATCCCTGGTTCTTGGATAACAGAGTGAGGTGTTTCACTATGGGAATCGCCTTGGCGTGACCAACTACGGAAGCTCCAATGACATCACGTCTGTCTGAGACAGACAGGTTGAGCCGTGTCCGTGGCTCCACCCACCAGCTAGATCACGGCCAACCTACCCGCCTCAACTCATTCTAGGCAGGTTTCTTTCCGTGCCCATGCAAGAAGGGATGTGTTGGTGAAACACCTCACTCTGTTATCAAAGAACCAGGGATTACGTTAAGTAACCCAACGTTCTTTTTCTAACTTCGCTCGGTGTTTCACTATGGGAGATATGGCCCACTCCCGGATTGCATGATGATCCCGAAGCCATATATGATAGGAATCACAACCCAGGTCTCAGTTGGACCCTAACATCCCTACTCCAAGCACTGAGTGTGCTAGCGATGGCCGGGCCACATCCAGCCTGTAAAACCTCACAAATGTGTGCGGCGTAGCCCAACTGGCTGCAGCACAGATGTCCTGAACTGACACACCACGGAACAAAGCCCAAGAGGTGGCCATGCTTCTGGTAGAATGGGCCCTCACCCCTTTAGTGGGCTCTGATCCTGCGCACCTATATGCCAGAGATATAGCCTCCACAACCCAGTGTGCTAATCTTTGGCGGGAGACAGGTTTGCCCTTATGAGCAGTAGCCCAGGATACAAACAGAGGGTCAGCTCTTCTAAAACAGGCTGTCCTGTCCACATAAGCTCTTAAAGCTCTCACTGGACATAAGCAATGAAGCTTCTGCTCATCTGCTGAAGAGAAAGGGGGTGGATGGAATGCCAGCAATTCCACCATCGAACACCTATATGCTGAATCCAACACCTTCGGCACAAAAGCCGGGTTGGGTCTCAAGCACACCTTAGAGAGCCCGGGTGCCCACTGTAAACAGGCCGGACTAACTGAAAGTGCATGCAACTCACTCACCCTCTTAGCCGTAGCCAACGCTAAGAGCAGGGCAGTTTTCAATGAAAGGAACTTTAAGCCAACATCCTCCAAAGGTTCAAATGGGTGATGACAGAGGGCATCCAACACCAGAGAGAGATCCCATAATGGCACCAGAGGCTTAGAAACTGGTAACTTACGTCGGGCCCCTCTCATAAAACGACACACTAAGGGGTGCTTCCCCACAGGTTTATCACCAAACCCTACATGACAAGCAGAGATTGCGGCTAAATAAACCTTAATTGTTGAAAAAGCCTTACCCTTCTCCAACAAGCTCTGCAGAAAGCAGAGCACGTCCCCCACTGAACACTGAAAAGGAATGGTCTGTTTTTCCTCACACCATTCCTCAAACACTCGCCATTTACCACTGTAAAGATAGCGAGTAGAAGAAGCCCTAGCATTCTGTATGGTGTCGATCACCTCTGGGGGGAGGCCTGTTGCATTTAAATTCCACCTTTCACGGGCCAGGCCCAGAGAGCCAGGTGATCTGGGTGTGGATGATAAATCTCCCCTTGAGCCTGAGACAGCAGGTCCCTTCAAACGGGGAGGGGCCATGGTTCGGCTGACAGGACTTGGATTATCTCTGCCACCCAGGGCTTCGATGGCCACCAGGGAGCCACCAGAATCAAAGACAGCCCCTGTTCCCTCACTCTGACTAGAGTTGGGGATATCAGGCTGAGAGGAGGGAAAGCATAAAGCAACGCGTCTGGCCATGGGTGCGCCAGCGCGTCCATACCCAGTGGAGCGTCTGGGTCTGACAGGGAGAAAAACAGCGGGCAATGAGTGTTTTCCCATGAGGCGAAGAGATCTACGGCAGCCCGTCCGTATCTCTGCCAGATCTGCTCCACCACCTGTGGATGCAGCTTCCATTCCCCATAGAGAGGGTTCCCTCTGGATAAAAGATCGGCCCCTCTGTTCAGAATTCCCGCTACGTGCGTTGCTCTGAGCGACAGAACTCTGGTGCTGCTCCACATAATTATGTCCCTGGCCAGTCTGTGTAACTGCAGGGACCTGGTGCCGCCCTGACGGTTGATATAAGCCACCACAGTGGAGTTGTCGGTCTTTACCAAGACGTGGCGACCCATCACATATGGCATGAAGTGCTTCAGAGCTAGGAACACTGCGTGCAGTTCCAGCATGTTGATGTGAAGCCGCGTCATTCTCGGCGACCATATGCCATTCACCGCTCTGCCCATCATAGTCGCGCCCCAACCTGTCAGGGAAGCATCGGTTGTCATGGTAACCCTGGATGCTACGGTCCCCAGCGGGACGCCTGACGTGAGAACCGTCGGGTCTCTCCAGGGCTGAAGAGCCGCCACGCATGTCTGTGTCACTTTTACTCTGCGGCACAGATGACGGCGGGGACAGAGTCGCAGCGAGGCGACCCACCGCTGAAAGTCCCTCATCATCAGAAGCCCCAGATGGACCACTGAAATCACGGATGCCATAAGACCGAGGAGCCGCAGGCACAGTCTGAATGTAACGACGTTTCCCAACTGAAAACGCGTCATGCACTGGGTGAATGACAGGATTCTCCCCTCTGATAGTGTGACACGATAAGAGAGGGAGTTTATTTTTAGACCCAAATACTCCGTGCATTGCACGGGAGTCAGGCGACTTTTGGCTTGATTTATCCTGAACCCGAGGTTGATGAGGTGGTTGATCACTGCCAGGGAGTCGCTGACTGCCTGCTCGCTTGACCGAGAGCAGATTAGATAATCGTCTATGTACGAAAATATTCTGATCCCGCGCGTCCTCAGAGGGGACAGCGCCGCCTCCACACACTTGCTGAACACCCTCGGGGCTAATGACAGCCCGAACGGGATGGTCTGAAACTCGTAGGCTGCGCTCTGATAAGCGAACCTGAGAAACTTTCTGTGTGGGGTGTAAATGGAGATGTGAAAATAGGCGTCCGCGAGGTCGATGGTTACAAACCAATCCCCCGGACGGATGGAACGGCACAGTGCTTTGTGTGTGAGCATCCTGAATGTATATCTGCGTAAGTGTCTGTTTAACACACGCAGATCCAGAATGGGGCGTAGTGATACGCCGTCTTTCTTTGGAATGAGAAAATAGCGCGAGTAGAAGCCCTGACGAACCTTCTCGTCCGGTACAACTCTGATCGCTTTTTTCTCTAACAGGGATGCTATTTCGTCTTTCAGGACGTGAGCTGAATCCCCGGTGGCAACCGAGGAGAGCACTCCGTTGAATCTCGGAGGTCTCGTGGCAAACTGCAGTCTGTAACCCTTGGAGATTGTATGCAAAACCCATGGAGAGACAGCGCATGCGCGCCACTGATCTGCCCGAGCAGAGAGAGGAGAAGCGTCGCTGCTGAGTGACGTCATCCCCTCTGCACTGCTGCGCTCGGCTCTGTTGTAAAGAGCGCGAGCTCCCTCTGCTGGGCGCAGAGGGGAGTGGCAGAGAGCCATTTGTGTAAATTTTTTTCTTTTTTGTGGGGGGCTTTCTGCCCTTGGCAACATGCCTGGCTGCAGAAAAGCTGTATTTATTTTCTCTAATTCCCCCTGAACAACACTTTGTAACATGGGGCACAGCTGAGTGCTTGGTGACACTGATAATGTGCTGTGGAGTGTTTTGTGACACTGTGTCCTCCACCCCAAAATGTCTTCTCTCTGAACGTGAGAGGGAGAATTTAACATGCCTCCTGGTGAACTGGGAACTACAGGAGCATCTGAATCCTGGACAGAGAAGTTTGCCCTGGTGCCTGGAAACCTTCTCTTCAGAGGGGAGATGGTTAACAGTGGGGTTAGGTTGCCCGCTTTTTCTTGCTCTCCCCAGGGTGGGATGGACGATTTTTTGCAGCGGCCGCTGCAAAAGAGTGCTTCCCCCATGGTCTTGGGTTCTCCGCTTTGCTTTGCTGGGTGGATTGTGTGGCAGGTCTCCTTGAAGGCTTGGCTCCACCTTGCCGTACTCTCACTGCAGCAGCCGCAAACCCAGGTCTGGGTCCCTGTGGGGGGGTTTGGCTGGGCTTACGAGGCAAACAAAGGTTAAAAGCCTCTCCCTCCTGTTTTCTGAGGTTACTCGTCTCCCTCATCTTCTCCAAGGAGGGGCCAAATAGACCTTTTGTCGGGTCATAGGGCGCATCCATGATCTCGGCCTTCTGGGAATCACTCAGGCCTGACAGGTTTAACCATAGGCCTCTTTCCCCTGAGACAGCCAGACCCATGACCCGGCCACAACCTTGAACAGCACCTCTAGAGGAGCGCAAGATGAGATCGTTCACCACACAGATCTCATCCCATAGACTGGGGTTAGGTGTCCCCGAGTCCAGTTGGCGCCCCATCTCCTCCAAGATTTCACCTTGGTACGCAGACAGCAGTGTAACCGCGTTAAGTGAGCACACTGACTGACCCGCATATCTGTACATCCTTTGGTAAATGGAGGCTGTGAGGCGGTCCATTTTACCTGGGAGCGAGATGTTTGAGGATGCTGAAACCGATCTGCGGTTAGGGTGGAGGTGGTAAGCCACTGAAGGCTCTACAGCTGGGGGTTCGGCCAGCCCCAGCTC